AGGAATTATGCTTAAGAATTTGCTAAAGGAATTAACACAGTTACTTGCTGACAGTTACTTGCAACTCTGGAACTTCATTCTAGTTAGCTGGTAAGGCGCAACTTTTCAAAATAGTCCCATTCATAGTGGTTTAGAAGCATTGACTTCTGAGACCAGACAGCGGTATCTTGGAACAGCTAGAAACTTGTCAAAGTGCTTCTCTCGAAAAATCATGAACCTGGTAATTTCTTCAGCGAAAAAAACGAAAGCCAGGTTCTTCAACGGCCTGATGCTGTTTAAAGCAGCTGAAAAAAAACTGTGAGTTATGTATTTGAAGAAAGACATTGTTAACTGCCGCTGATCGAAAGGTCGAGGGAGAAAATTGATTTTGTTGGTGTTTAATTAGCGAAAGACTATAAGAAACGCATGGTCCCTCGTTCTCGAGATTCTTATGTTTTTCTGTTTTTTGAGGAATTTCGAGAAATAATGGATGGCGCTACGGATGGTGCAGTATTGATGTCGTTTGGCTCCATAGCAAAAAGTTCCGAAATGAGCCCAGATTTGAAAGAGATTTTCACTGGTGCATTCAAATCCATGCCGAATGTACGTATGAAATTTAGTTTGTTGTGTGCACTTTTTCAAAGTGCCCCATTCACACGTCGCTAATTTAGCTGAAATTTTGTATGCTGTTAGATATTTGAACTTCATTATAACGCACAGAGTTTTTGAAATGACAGCTCCGAACTGTTAAAGTTCACATTTACTTTTCAGCTGAAATTTCTTTGGAAGTACGAAAGTGAGAACGATCCATTGGTTGAGGCTCCAAATATCATCAAGAAAAAATGGCTGCCTCAAAACGATCTCCTCTGTACGTTAGTTGTTTTGATTATGGTAATATCTGCCAAAAATTTCATGATCAATACCGCATACCATCCATCTATCCTATTCATTAACTTGTTCATCTCTCACTAATGAATCAACTGAGGCAAAATAAAAGGCTTTTATAACGCCCAGGCTCGGCCACGCTTATGGTACCCCCTTGGGATTTACAATCCTTCTGGGCTCAGCTGTGTTAAAGTCGAGACACAAATAAACCGCTCTTGCAGCTTCTTTTATGGAGGAGCCAGAAGAAGGGGGGGGGGGCGGCAGGAGTGCGAAAGAAGTAAATCCACGTTTCTAGCAGTTGCGCCTTGATAGACAGAAACATTTCTGTTCTACAGTTACTTTGCATATTTTTCATACATCTTCATTACATACTGTCACTTAACATAAGATCAAAAGAAACAAATATTTTCGATTACTATCGATTCTTTCAAATAAGGAAAGCAAATATTTTTGATTACTCCATTCTCCATCCATCACAGCTAATTGCAAGAATGCATGATCTATGCTCTTATGCACTTTAACATTTTAAACATGCCTTCTTTGAGCAAGAAAATTTGCT